CTTAATTAACCTGATTACTGCTAATCAATGGGCTCTTCTGAGATAAAATCTTTTCTGAATGAAGTTGGAGTGGCTCATTTCTTTAATAGTTATTTCTAAGGCGGAATTAAGATCACGATCTATCCTACTTGATAAAGCACTAAGATTGAACTTACTGTGGACATCTAATCTGTCGGCCAAGATATATTGAAAAGGAGTACTTTTTTGCCTTACTACTTCTTGCATTTCTGAATTAGCATATACGAAAGGTATGTAAGTCTTTCAGGAGCCAACGATTTGTGAAAAACCTTGCTTCATTGTCGAATTTGCATGTATACTTCGGCATAGTAAACCATAAATCCGTAAAACGAAAATATCATTTATATTGTAAAGATAAACCTGGGCTCATGCTTGTTTAGATTACTATTAACACTGCTTGACAATAGCGCAATAATGAGACTTCCAAAGTATGTATTAGCCGATAAAATGTTTAAAACAAGTAAAAGTTGTTACGGTGCTGCTTTGATTAATTTTTGTCCCTTTGAATTTTTCCACTTGTGTTAAATTCCTTAATTTCTAACTTCTACATTATTTAACACTATGATGCCACTAGTCCATAATTATTCTGTCATTTTTGCCTTATCAATTATTTATTATAATATCGTCTTTCGTTATTGAGACTTATTCTCATTTCTCCTCAATGAAGCCTTTTCGCACCCTTTACACAACGCAGATATTTTTTAATTTTTTAATTGGTTCTTTTACATTCATATTTCTTTTTAACATTTATTCTCACTTTTGTACACTATAAGCATGATCGCTAAAGAAGCCGTCAGTGTTATTTTTGTATATCTATTTTCCTTTCCTACAGGGCCGTGGTTGGTGGCGCCAGCAGGAGGAGCCCTGGCAAACATTAGCCTGTTGTTGCGAATTGACAGCCGCGCTACGGCATCCAGATGGACCAGAGAAATACGCTTCAGGTTACCCGGTGCATCAGGACGGTTCTTGCAATGGTCTTCAGCATTATGCTGCTCTAGGTCGCGATCGGTCTGGAGCTGAATCTGTTAATTTAACGGATAGAGAGAGGCCACAAGATGTGTACGCTGACGTTGTGGAACTGGTGAGTTATAAAAAATTCGATTGATAAATACAACATTATCCTTTTGACTAACACCAATTAAAAGCTGGACACTTATATTTATGTCTTTAGACAGCAATAATACACCATTCCGACCTTTTATGTATGCGAGACCCAACCTCTTGCTACAAAAGACCCAATTTTCTCCCGACTACTCTTATTTGAATTAGATTAACCCTTTTTACTTCAGCAAAAGATGTATTTGGTGTAATACAAGAATACATTTTTATTACTCCTTGACTGGACTTAATCAAATTGCTCTCTTATTCGTATAAGCTTTTGCACATTTTTCGTATAAAAATTAAAAGAATTATTTCGATACATTCATTATAAGAGACTAGGATAGAGGAAGTCATAGACTTGGCATTATGGCTAGAAGAACGATAAATGCGGCGGAGAATACAGCTAATTGGCTAACAGTAGACGTGTTTGATCATAGAAATGGCCCATGAAGCAAAAGATTAGCCATACTAATTACTAGGGAGCTTTAGCCTCACGTTAGTCTCCCATCTAGCTTGAGAATCCTTATTTTTACGGGCCTACTCAGCCAGGCGGGAGTATGAATGCCACCAAAGCCTTGAAGCAGTGCGGGAAATAAAGTTTTGAGTAGTACAGCTGGGGTGGCAGGTGCCGAGTGAAATACCTGAACCAGGAAGGTAGGAGGCGGATCCTACGAGGAAAGAGGGGTACTCTGCTAAGGCCTATAGGAAGAGGATTGCGGGGTGTGGGTTTTGAGAAAGCTAGTAGGGGCTTTGAACAGTTCTTATGAAATCCGCTAAAAAAAGGCACACAATGCCATATCAAAATAAGAAAGTGTGGTTGTGAAGGAGTGCTATGGGGATATAGGATTGGTTAATTGCCCAGCGCAGGAGGATAGATAACATAATTGTGTAGCAGACAATTGGTCAAAGGATCGGCTTCACTTGTCTCTGACGAATTGTAGTGCGGTGCTACGAATGGCAAAGCTCACTGACGAGCAGGCTACGATGGCTTTGCAACTTCTGGTAATGTAACAATTCCACGGTCCGATTATGGAAATTATCATGCATACTTTGGACTTAGGACAAGAAGTGTTCCTCTAGGTCTTCCTACCAAATGACCAAGTTGCGGAAGCAAGGTCAAACAACTTCTATACAACGTAAGGAGACTGCGACCATACAAAGGCCACACCATCTTGATCTTCATATCTTCGATTATATTTTATGCGGTCTATTTGTTTATTATTCCTTTTAAATTAGTTCTATGGACTAGATTTTATCTGGACTAGATTTATCATTATTAATTTTGAAATTGTCCATAAGGGTTAATACCTAGAGTTTCTATAGGACGGAATTATTCACATATACTATTAACACTCATTTTTTGAATTTGAACTAATACACATAATGTGATTAGGCTGTGAAAAATTAAATTTGTTTTCCATTTCTAACAGCCCATTAAAACTAACATGCTTTTGCAGGAAATGGTATGTCTAACTATTTTCGTAAGTGAGTAGGTTTTCGAGACTACCAGTAAATCACCTTAAATGAAATTGGGTGAATGCAACTCATATACAACTTATGTATAACTATTCCTATTTCGTATTTCATCTCATCTTGTATTTTGATTTCTAAATACTTTTTTATTTAACCCTTCAATTATATTTTTTATTCAAAAATTCTATCTGAATGGCGCACTTACATAACAAATGTTTCTCTACCGTGTTCACTTTTAAGAAACGAATAAAACCGTCTTAGCAACAGCCAATATTAACTTGACTATTGCCAATCTTACTCAAGCTACATAGGGATAAACATAGTAATATTGTATTTTGAAAAATATTCTTCAGTACGAATACAATAATGCTCATTTACCCGTTTGCTTATCTTGTTTCGTTCATAGACGCATTGTTATCCCATTTCCTACTTATATATTTATTATATTCAGGTAGAGCATCAGCGAAAAGCCGACGCTGCTCAAGGCTTAGCTGTCGCCAAAATCCTTGAGGGATTTATTTTGAGAAAAGTAATCAAGCAATCCGTGATGACCACTGTATATGGTGTGACACAGTACGGAGCTAAGTTGCAGATCCAGCGCCAGCTGCGAGACATGGAGTCCTTTCCTGTCGATTATTTGGGTCCAGCAGCTACATATCTAGCGAAGTTAACACTATCTAGCATTGGAAAGATATTTACTTCTTCCACTGAAATTCAAAACTGGTTTGATGAGGTGTGCCTATTATTACATTCTGTCTATTATTTTCTATCTATCATAATCCATATTTTTGAATTCGACATTGCGGCCTTAGGCTTAATTTCAAGGCAATCATTACTACCTATTCCAAAACCATTTCAACTCAAGCTCATCCTAAATTGGACCACGTATGGTAACAATTGTGATCATTAGTATGTCTTTTGACTACTTGTTAAGAAACTATTTTCCATAATTAATATACTTTCTGATACCGATATCATTTTATTGTCAAATGCCCACCTATTTTATTTGTTAGCGCTGATCTCTAAAATTATTTTATAATTTGTTCAGCTGGCGCATCAGATTTCATCTTACCTGGGGTGCCGCGTTTCCTGGATAACCCCACTTGGTCTCCCGGTTGTCCAACCATATACACTTAGGGATTTGAATAAACAGCCTCTTACGAGTCAATCTTTGCACTCATCACCTCTGGCCATTCTTCATAAACACTCACTCTTTAGTGCTTTTTATGATGAGGCTGGTGATGACGATGACGATGATGATGATAGTAATCTCAGATCGAAATTAAACGAACAGAATAGTCCCATGTTCCTATCATCAAATGGTGAGATTGATTTTCATTAATTTTACTAAGCGTACTATCTTATAAGCATAGGATCAATTTATTTCTAATATGCCAGCGATTTGTACTCTTAAATGAAGCTGCAAATTTAATAGAAGTAGCCTAATCTCGTTTTCGCAACTTGGTTGTGCTTTCAGAGTGACTTAGTTAAGCGCACCTTGTCCAAAGTTCTCTGCTATACTTATCATAATTCCCAGCGTCGGACAATGGATTTGGTATATTCCCAGACATTTCGCCGGCCTATTCGCCGCTGTGAATTATGATACCTACTATAGCAGAGGACTCCAGACATGGTGAGTCCAACTAAGTCTTTGACATCACGACCAAGTTGCTAAGGTCAGGCCACTTCTATTCATCTAAGGGAGAATGTGCTCAAGATAAAGGCCACAACATCATAGTCTGCATAACTACGTTTAAACTGCTCATCGTATCTGCTAATTTAATGTCTATGGAGCGACATTCTTTTGTCAAAGAGGACAAAGTTTATCTTAACATAGATTAGTGTTCTGGAGATTTAATTTTAAATAAGCTAAATATACTATCCTTAATATAATCGGAATTTTAAGTATATCCTACCCAAAACTAAAGGATAGGAGCTGCGGCTTTTGGATTGTGCCAAAAATACATCTATAAACTTACGCGAAATACGTGTTGAGCTTTTATTTTCAATGTGATAGACATCGTAAGAGCCAGAGCACATTATTTACGAAAATTCACTAATATTCTAGACAAAGAAATTTGATTTAGCATCAGTTATACTTCTAATACTCTATTTTTTAGTATTGAAACTCCATAATTTTATTGGCTTATTCCTGCTTACTCGAGATGCTTGCAGATAAGTGAGGTTGAGGCATGAGGATGTGAATGGGGTCACAACTGTTTCCTTATGCTAACTATATAGAATTTGATCGAAGAGATGAAGACCAATATGGTGTGGTCGCAGTCTCCTTTAGTTGTATAGAAGTTGATTGACCTTGTTTTCGCAACTTGGTCATATTGGTATTAAGACAGAGGAACGCACCTAGTCCGGAGTCCATTGTATGGAGCCATGTACCACGTCCACGCTCTGACTTTGGAAATTATCATGCATATAATGGACTCCAGGCTAGGTGCGTTCCTCTAAGTCTTCTTGCCAATATGACCAAGTTGCGAAAACAAGGTCAAACACCTTCTATGTCGAATTTTGCTTCTGCAATTTAGACATAATTTTAGCTATTGGTTGTATCTATTCAATGCATATGAGAAACATTAGGTTAGAGAGCCTCAACCAAATTCGAGGCCCACTAAACATATTGTTTTGCGGTTCATCGTGCCCTCCATCTCCTTGTACCTGTTCAACAGCCACAAATAGTTCCCGTTCACTTTTCGATACTCATTTTATTCAGGATGCTGGTTATTTTATTTATTTTTAAAGACTCCCTGACTCCGTATTAACTCGTTTCATGTTTTAGCCATCTGTTGGGGTATTCAGATCTTTAAAATAATCTACGTTTTCAACCAATTTTTTTACTCATTTAACTTAAGATTGGGTCAAATTTTAATTCAAATAGACGTTACCGCGTAAGCATAAAGCATTTAAAGGATAAGGGCGAAGTAGAGTTGGCCAGTTAATAGCGAACCTGTCCAAAACACTAATGGACGTTACTTGGGAAAAGGCTTTCTCTATGAGTCTAAATTATTATCGTACATAGTAAGAAGTATGCCGAGGCGACTTTAGTATAACAATTAAATTTTACTTATCGATTAGCCGAGGAGGCTAGAAGCGATATAGACCTAAAGTTTGCTTCCCTAATTGATAACCGTGCAGAGATACCAAATTAGGATATGAGGGTTACTAATATCATAATGCAGCTTAGGTAAAACGAACAAATAGTCTTGAGAGAGGACAATGGAGAATCAATTTGGTTATTGATATGGCGGTTTATGCAGGAAATGCTTAGCATTTTAACTCTGAACCTTATGAACCAAGGAAGACACTGAAATCTAGAATTAAGTGTTGCCTAACAAAGGAAACATAGAAAAAATGATTGATATATATATATACCCTCCTGTTAACTGGTTCAGAAGCTACAGCCGCTGCTATCAAAATAGAACTTTCGTAAAGTCTTGAAGAAAAGGACTATTCTCTCCATCAGCTAGCCCACAAGAACATGAATAAATCGATAAAATGGAGTGCTCCGTAACTTACAGTATAAACTGCAAGGACTATGCAAAAGTACATCGACAAGATTGGAAGGAGAACAATCAGCAAATTGATCAGGGAGCACCAGCGACTATGCAGAAAAATGGGCACGGAAAAATCGGGGACAGCTAAACACATTATCCTTACCGACCAGATAATTGACTGGAGAGCAACAGAGACTGGCCTCATATGGGGAGAACAACATAAAATGAAAGATCAGAGAGGCTGTGGACATCCTCTTTCCAAGAAACCTAATAAAGAGACGATCTGAATAGGATAGAATCAGTGGGAATTTCGCTTACTGTCTGGGCACACTTGGAGATTTAGAGAGGAGAGTTAAAAGAAGACGCTGGGACCAAGGACATCTATCCACCAAAAAAAAGAAATATCGCCAAAAAGAAGATTATGAGGAACAAAGGAAGTCAATAAAAGGCGATCGCAGCGAGAGAAGTCAAACCTGGAATCAGCTGAGATCAAACAAGAGGTCACACAATCTTGGACTTCATATCTACATGTAGTTGTGTGCTGAAATAGGATAAGCATGATCCAATGGCCAAACCTCGTCTTTGTGCATATTATTTACCATTCATTATTTAGGTTTGTAATCTCATGGTAGACTTCGCTTAGATTATTAATTGTTCTTATCTTTGCGTGCTGATCTATTGTAATTCCTAAAGTCAGTACAGCACCAAAATAATCATGTGATTTGTTAGACTACAAATATATCGTAGATACGAAGAAAAACTGGGTTTCGATGAATCTCCTGAGATAACATTGTTAGAGGGACCTTCA